GAGGAGTTTGCTCTGTGCCCAAAGCAGGAGACGCCGAGTCATCCTGTAAAGGGAATTTGACCTGAGGCCGCCTTGGCGAATTATATAGGCTACCACAGTCATGTTGCCCAAACGGACCAAGACTTGGTGCCCCTTCTAGGCTGGCAGGAAGGTTTTCAGGGCCAGACAAACAGTCATCATTTTGAGGCAGTTTATGTGCAGGCATTGCTCATGGATCGACCAGGACCATACAGAGTGCCCCAGCCCGAGCTGGAGGCATCCATTGTGACTACCTTCCTCCTGGAGGTCGTTCCCAACTGTACGCCAGATAGAAACAAGTGAGGAGTTGTCCAAGGGGCCACAGCTTTGGTGCAGTGATGAGTTACCCTGACATAATAGCGGCCCAGGTGCCAGGTGTGGGACGGAACATGAGTTCATTGAAGAAAGCGATCTGCGAGCGCAGCAGGAACGGACCCAATGCTCTCGCAGCGAAAGCAGTCTGTCTCAGGGAATGCAGCCTAGTGTGAAGCTGTCAGCGATACAGAAAGTCGGTGACAGCATTCTACTCCGATCCGCCTAGAAGGATTGAATCGATCGATGAAACGAGGGGAGCCGATCCTCACGTCTAAAACTCCAGCAGATTAAAGTGCTGCGGGGAGAGTGAGCATGCGGGACCTGTGCTGGCGTGAGATCACTCAAACCCTATTGCTCAGCTCCGTGACTCCACCGTTTCTATCTCCGAGCTCACTGAGAGAGGAGAAATGAAGAGCGGGGCTGCCTTCATTGAAGAAGATGGTTTGCGAGTGGAGAAGAGTGAAACGCATGCTCTATGTGAGAGCATTCTGTCTCAGAGAGCGCACAGTCTTTCCGTGGATGCTGCACAGACAGGCAACACACTCACTGCATCCTTCTGCATAGTGCAGAGGTTCCCTGCATGAGCCACACTCGCTGCGCGACATTTGCAACAACATCACTAGCAAATTTGCTCTTCTGAAGCACCGGAAGGCTTCTTGATTGCAGAGTCAGCAAAGAGATGGTTTTGTCACTGAAGGAGAAGATTCTGATGAGATGGCGCTCTGAGCCAGCTTATATAGCCAGATGGCCCCACCCATTTTTGCAGGCTAGAGCGCCATTGGTTTGTGCAGCTACACAATCTTCTGTTGGTCACACGGTTTCATGTGATACAAATTCACCAAACTTGAACTTTGGAACATAGTGAAATGTGAAACAACTTCTCAGGAGCTTGCATTTCTGCTCTCCTGCATTCGCATACGTATGAATGGAAGTCAATGGAACGAAACGTGTAGTGTGACCGGCCCTTATCATAAAAAAGCCAAAAAGTTCTTCAACATGTCAACACAGAAAAAATAAAACTGCATTTCATGGGATCTTTATAGTGTTTTGTTTGTATCTCTTGCCTTCTTCTGATGACTCTCCTCCTCCACTCGACTCTCCTCCTCTACAGGAACAGTGTTGTGAGTCCTGTGGTCTCCTTCAGTGCAGAACAGACACACACTCGTCTGATCATCTCTGCAGAACAGCTCCAGAGGTCTCTCGTGTTTCTGGCATATATAATCCTCCAGATTTTCCACAGCGTTGATCAGTGTGTGTTTCTTTAGACGTGGGACTCTGTGATGAGGCTCCAGGTGAGTCTCACAGTAAGAGCTTTGACACATCAGGCAGGACTTCACGGCTTTCTGCTTTCTTTCATCACAGAAGTCACACAACACCTCAGATTTTCCTAGATCGAGCTTCTCCTTAAAGTGTTGCACAACCTCTCTGAGTGTTGTATTAATCTCAAGATCAAGTCTTCTGATGAATGTTTCATTACAGAATGGACAGAAGCAGATATGTGTGTTTGTCCAGCACTTGTTCAGGCAGGTTTTGCAGAAGTTGTGTCCACATGGAGTGGTGACTGGATCAGCGAACACATCCAAACAGATGTAGCACTGGAGCTCCTCATTTAGTGGACCACTGGAGGATGACATGCTGAAAAGATAAGTAATAACAATATATCATCTACATTACTGCTTAGAGCAGTTTTGATACAAATTTTGATGTGATTGAGTCATTTATTTTGTGTATGGATGTTGCTTTTTAAAAATGATTCTAACTAAAAACTTTTTATAAAGACGTAATAATAAATAAACAACATAAATTATGAACCAATGTTTATTTCAACGGCAAAGCAGCCATAGAGTAATATGTGACAGCAGTTTCTGACTGGAAGTTAGGACAGAGTTCACGTGATGTGGAACAAGCACAAACCATTCTTAAATTTAATGATGTTGCATTTTGTTTACACTTTGGATGTTAGCGTGAAGTTTCATAATAGTAATGCACTATATGCTCTATTATGCACTATATTCTAAGTCTTCTGAGGTCATATGATGCTTTGTGTGAGGAATGCAGATTCAGACTGGCACGGAGCATTCAGTCAAGTCACGTGTGGGAACCCGTGGCTTTTGATGTTGATGTTTAACCTGGTGAAATGCATATAAAAGCGCCATATTTGAACTGCGCACAAGCGTGAATGAAATTTAAGAGTTGCAGTAAAGGGAAACAAACTTTGTAAAGTGATGCTCAGATAAAAAATAATTTATTTTAGATCAAATATGTTTCATGTTTCAGTGTCTCTAGAGGATGCTGTGGTTTGTATAGGCATGACTTTCAGTTTTATTTTTATTAGTATTTTATAAAAATGGCTTCAGAAATTTCTTTATAATTTAATATTTAGAACACTATGGAAATTGTAAAAATGTAGCATACCATGTGGAATTTCACCATATTAAATCAAATTATGTCAACTTTCACCATAGCAGATTTGAAAAGCTGTAAGTGCTAAAGAGTAAAATTGAAGTTATGTATTCTGTAAAAACGAAAGTATACAAAAATTGTGATTATCAGAAATATAGACTCATAACAAATTGGATTCCGCACACAAAGTAAAAAAAAAAAAAAAAAGGAAATAGAAATTAGTTTCCATATGTCCATTGTCTTTACTTTACAGGGATATGGTTTAGCTGGTTAACATAACCAAGTTAGTCTCTGCTGGCAGATTCCTTAACTAAATAATCTTTCTCTATTTCCAGTCATTCAAATGCATTCTGATTCTTTTAATTGTTCAATTAAATCTTCTTAATTGTGGATCATACCCTCATTATTTCATAATATAAATTATAAATATATTTTTTTTGTTTGGTTTGGTGTGGAGATTCCTATTTTTGTTTTGATATACATATTTTAATCCTTTAACAGCACAACAGCACTTGCATAGTTAATATGTCCAGTTTTCATGTTTCATATTTCAGGGCAATTTGTGTTCAGGGAAGATGTGTTCATTTCAATTGACAGGTGAGATGATTAGTGGGTTTGAGTTTCTGCCTTCATTATTATGGCATGGGTTAAAATATGGATAGAGTTTGTCAGTGAAAGTCTGACCAGTGAGAGAGTAGATATGAGAGCTGGACTCCACGTCATAAAAAGAGACCAGACCCTCCTCATAATCCACAAACACTCCCACCTTCTCAGGTGTCTCTCTCAGAGAGAAAGAGACAGGTGGATTATCACAAGCTGTATATTGATTCTCATTCCTCAGAATCACAGTCCAGAATCCATCTTCAGGAGTCAGTGTGATTGTACCCTTCCTGTTAATGCATTCTCTGGCCACTCCTAAACTCCACTCAGTCTTTCCCTTCACCTGCACCTCATAGTAAAATCTCCCTGAACTGAATCCCTGCTTTGCCAGAACACAAGAACAGTCATCAAATCTCTTTGGGTTTTCTGGGACGTCCTGCTTAATGTCTCCATCACTGACTTGTTTTCCATCATCAGACAGGATGAGATATGGATTCGCTGTATCAGGATCCAGAGTCACATCCTCTGAGAGAAAACATATGTTCATATGTACTGATTATAAACAAAGTATTGTAAGTGTATTTAAATTAAATGGTGTCAGTCACACTGTACCTGCAAACTTCTGCACACACTTCAACCCTGTGGACACAGATGACAATAAGAGATGATGAATTATTTATCAAATTAATTTCAGGTTAACAGTGAATTTATCTTAATTGGCAGCACCAGTAGAATTTTAATGTACCTCATCTAGCAGTTTGTAAAACAGAATGCAGAATGTGTTTACAGTAAATACACTTCTAATGGAAGCCTAAGGTACAATCATGTAAGAGAGATTAAATGCAGAATTGTGAAGCTTGCATTTTTATATACTATATGTGTCCCTGATGTAATTATTAGTGGAATTTGTACAGGTATGTGGATAGTTAAATCTAAAAAGTTATTTTCATGTCAAAGTGCATGTTAAAGTAATACTGATTTAACTGGTTATAACATGAGTTCATGTTTGGATAGAGCTTCACATAAGAAATCTATTCACTGTATTTGATATTAACATACCAGATTGACAGAATTTTTTATTTAGAGTCCCATCTAGAGTTTTCTCCAGTTGAATCAGAACATTCTTCAGAGAGTACACATTCACATCACAGTCAATACTGATCTCAGTCCAGTTCTTTGTATGTACATGACTGTACAAGGATGAGAACATCTACAGCAGGAGAGAGGAGACTTAAATTTGATGCTTTTATTATTATTTTTTAAATGTTAGTTATTTTCCTAATTTGATATGATCACTGTTTCATTCTGTTCTGTGCGAATTCTGAAGTATGGTAAAAATGGTCAGAGCCTTTGTCTTACAGTGCCTCAACATGCAGCAATATTCTCTATTCTCAGTGATGATACAGATGTTGACAGACCTGCAGGAGGTGCAGATGATCGTCAGTGTGTGAGAGCTGCTCCAGCTCAGTGTTTCTCCTCTTCAGCTCAGTGATTTTCAGCTCAGTGATCTTCAGCAGCTCAGACTGACATCTCTCAATGGAGCGGATCAGATCAGTGAAGAGCTCAACACTGGCCGATTTCTCTTCCTCTGTGTTCCTCTGATCAATGAGATCAATTAGCAGATTCATTTATTAAGTATTTACATATTTATTTAACAGGATAGTTGAAGAAATATGTGCTTTTTAAAGAATCCCATTAAAGGTACACTATGTAACTTTTGGCGTTCTAGCGGTTAATAAAACTGCATGCGTCTTGCGAAAGAACCTTGTAAACTGAGCTACTGTGCTGTTTATGTACATGACGAGTCACACAGGTACTGGGCTACTCCACTGGTTGCCGTCTCGCTCAGTCCAAAATAGTCAGAATATAAACACTTATTATAGGCGTACTGTAATGATTGAAGATAAGACAAACACATTTTGGAACATGGATTCATGATGTACTCGCTCATTATACCAATTTTGACAAATTTGAACAAAAAAAGTTACATACCTTTAATTTAAGTAATTTTTCCCACTCACCTTTCTCAGCTCTACTGAGTGCTGGATCTCTTCAATCTTCTTCATTCTGTTCTGGATTATCTGCTGCACGTCTGTCTGTGTCTGAACCAGCTGAATCTTCATACCGAGAGAAATACAGACACATTTATCAATGATTTGCCATCTTCTATTAAGTAGCCTATTATTTGAATATTTATCAGCTTTTACAGATTAAATAAAAGACTGTTGGCTATGGCTGTTTTAAAAAAGAAAGGACGAGTATTTCAACATGTCAACACACAGGAAAGATTTCATGGGTGTTTATAGTGTTTTGTTTGTATCTCTTGCCTTCTTCTTTCGACTCTCCTCCTCTATAGGAACAGTGTTGTGAGTCCTGTGGTCTCCTTCAGTGCAGAACAAACACACACACGTCTGATCATCTCTGCAGAACAGCTCCAGAGGTCTCTCATGTTTCCGGCATACATAATCCTCCAGATTTTCCACAGCGTTGATCAGTGTATGTTTCTTTAGACGTGGGACTCTGAGATGTGGCTCCAGGTGAGTCTCACAGTAAGAGCTTGGACACGTCAGGCAGGACTTCACGGCTTTCTGCTTTCTTTCATCACAGAAGTCCCACAACACCTCAGATTTTCCTAGATTGAGCTTCTCCTTAAAGTGTTGCACAACCTCTATGAGTTTTGTATTAATCTCAAGATCAGGTCTTTTGCTGAATTGTTCTTCACAGAGTGGACAGAAGCAGGACTGTGTGTTTGTCCAGCACTTGTTCAGGCAGGTTTTGCAGAAGTTGTGTCCACATGGAGTGGTGACTGGATCAGTGAACACATCCAGACAGATGGAGCACTGGAGCTCCTCATTTAGTGGACCACTGGAGGATGACATGCTGAAAAGATAAGTAATAACAATATATCATCTACATTACTGCTTAGAGCAGATTTGATCATGCTAATTATGTGCAATTTAGTTAGTAATTTAGTTTGTGTACAAAAATGGACGTTGCATGTTAAAAAACTACTGTAATTGACTGGAAGTTGATGAATGTCTTGCCCGCCTCTCACACTAAACCTAACTTCACTGAGGCTATAAGCTCTGCTCTTAACATCCGGTCTGAGACTGCTCTGGTCTTTCAGATGGCTCTGCGGGACTCTAGTTGGTTACTTCTGGGTGGTAGAAGAAAACTAAATATGTGTCTCTGGGAGCCACAGTACAGCAAATGTAACGCAGAAAAGGGTGGAGGTGTAATATTTCAATCAAAAAGCACCCAATACACATCTGTAAATACCAGGGTGTTGTTTTTGTTTACTGGAGTTATGATTTTCACTGGACTTTTTTCATTCTGTCTGCAGTTCAAGTGCTTCTGTCGTCTCTCAAGTTTGACATGACAACAGACATGGACAGACAGCCAAATAAAGGACATAGTTTTACTAATATGCTGATACTGCTTCATGCTATTAAACTACTGAACGAGCTCTTTACATTTCCATCACTTACCTGTGAGTGAATAACAGTTTCTGAATAGAAATGTTGTTGTTTGAAAAAGCTTTCAGTTCATCTGTTAAGTTTCACTTTCACTTAAGTCTTTGACTCAACTGCAGTGACGTCACACAGTAGCTCCGCCCATAATCATGAATATGAAACAATTTCTAATTCCT